AACAAGCGGGACACAGGTGGACTTAAAGACCAACATGTCAAAGACGAATTATTAAGAACACAACCTGATTTCATCTATGTTCACCTAGGAGTCAATGATGCCAACCAAAACTTCGACCTAAGGGTAAGTCTCGACAACATATTTCAATTTTCACTATTCGTAGAGGAATCCCTGATAGGTACAAAGTTATTCTTCTCAATGCCGCTAATGACATCTGACAATGAAGCGAACGCAAGGATTGGGGAGATAAGGGATGCAATTTGGGAATTTGTGACCGTAACTAATAAAAACGAACGCAAACCCTTCAAAGAGCGGTCTTTGTATTATAACCCCAACGCAAACTTCATGCATGATGATCATCTGATAGGAGAATATCACACGAACGATGGAGTCCACCTTTCAACAAGAGGCAAAGAGGTCATTCTAGGAAACTTCCGTCACAGCATCCATGAAATGACAAGACTGCTTCTCAACAAGCCAAAGAAAGTCCGTTCTACAGGGGGATTGGAACCTTCTCCTCTTAGTCGAATGTGATTACACTGACATAGATTCTCATTTATACACATTATACCATGACTAGAAACACACAAAAAAATACACAGGTTTCAATTAATAAAAATAGCATAAAAATACTTTCTTGGAATATCCCATCGCCTTCATCAGTAGATGGGAGCAAATTTGAAATAGAATCATTTCAAAATGTTATCAAAGATCATGACATAGCCTGTCTTCAGGAAATTAGGAGAGAGGTTCACTTGGTAGGATATCGATCAATCTGCAACATAAGGAAAGACGGTAAATCAGGAGGTGTCGGTATCCTCATTAAAAATGAGCTTATTGAAGGGATTGAGTTTATCAAGAATACAGAGTGTTCAGACTACCTAGTTTGTCGACTAGACAAGGATTTCTTTAACCTATCAGAAGATACATTTATAGTTAACGTTTACATTAGACCATTTAATTCATCAGCCTCAAACCCGACTGACAATGGCAAAGATGCTCTAAAAAAACATTGAAGACGTTGTGAACGAACTTCGGGAGGAGGGCGAAGTCATATTGTGTGGGGACTTTAACTCTCGTATAGGACAAAAAACGGGTATGATAAGAGAAGACTCAACCAACGTTGTTCCCTTACCAGACGATTATGAGCCTGACAACTTTCTCCCCCGAAACTCACTAGACTCTATCACAAATACTTACGGTACACACTTTCTTAACCTAGTCAAACATAACCAACTCACTATTCTGAATGGCCGTACCCTAGGAGATCTTGTAGGAAACTTCACAAGTATCCAAAAAAATGGGTGCAGCGTTATTGATTACATTGCAGTGACCAACTCCACAAAGATCAGAATCAACTACTTCAAAATCTTGACATTCACCGAGCATTCTGATCATAAGCCCCTCAGTACTGAATTACAATGCAATAGATTCGCGATCAACAAATGCGCCCCATTACAGGACACTTATCAGACAGCGCCAACCAGATACATTATCAACGAAGAGAACAAAGACGACTTTTTCGAAGCTCAGTCAGAAAATCTATCATTGACCTTAATCCATGAACTTCAATCGAACATCGACTTACTCACCAATCAAAATATTTTAGCAGACAATGACCGTAATTATGAAACTGAACTCAAAGACATTAACAAACGACTTTCAGAACACCTTCGCGACATGGCCTCGAAGTGTTTCAAACAAACCAAACCACCCAAAAAATCTCACACCTCAAACAAACCTTGGTTTAACTGGAAAACGAGATTAGGTAAAAGAGAATTTCGTAAAGCTACAGATGCAACCTCAAAATTCCCGTCAAACAACCTTATACGTGAAAACTATTATCTTGTCAAGGGTAGCTATAAGCGTTTGAAGAACTCTGCCAAAAACGAATTCTTCGCACGTATGAATGAGGACATAGAGGGGGGGAAAATTCTCAACTGGCAATCTTTCAAAAAACTAAAAAATCAGAAAAAGGAAACTTTAAATTTTGACAGTCATGATATGAATAGATTCGAGACTTTTTTTGGTTACCTATATTCCGATAACCACAAAACAATAAATGAAAATAAAAAAGTTTCTATGATTGATCAAGCTGACTTGATAAATCAAGGTGCAACTCATCCTGAGTCACTCAACTCCTTAATCACCAAAACAGAACTTGACTCTAGTATAAAATCCCTAAAAAATGGTAAAGCTTCCTCACTCGACATGATTAATAACGAAATTATAAAATCTCTGGACACCAATCATAAATTGATTATGTTGAACCTCTTCAACGCCTGCTTCTCACAAGGAATTTATCCCTGGAACGTCAGCATTATATCTCCACTTCATAAAAAGGGTAATAAATCAGATCCTGACAACTACCGTGCAGTTGCTGTCAGCAGTGTCATAGGAAAACTATTTTCAACTATTCTCTTAGAACGACTCATTCGCTTCCGCTCTGAAAACTGCCCTGATCCACCTAACCAACTAGGCTTCACAAAGAAAGCTCAAACATACGATCACATACTAACCATGAAAACTATAGCTTCAAAATATAAACTTTTGGGGAAACCTGTATATGCAGTATTTGTTGATTTTAAAAAAGCATTCGACTCAGTCTGCCGTCAAGCCCTTTTCCTCAAACTCGCAAAAAATGGCATAACTGGAAACTTCTACAATGTCCTCAAAAATATGTACTCAAACTCGTACGCTTACATAAAATTATCTGGTCACCTCAGTAAACGCTTCCAGATACGTAAAGGTACAGAACAAGGTCACCCACTCTCACCTGATCTTTTTAAAGTTTTTCTCAGTGATATGTCCTGCCTCCTAGATTTTCCAAATTGCCCCGTACTTTCAAATTTGACTGTTAGCCACCTACTGTGGGCGGATGACCTTATACTCCTTTCACTCGACCAGGAAACCACTCAAAAGCAACTTAATATTCTCGGTAATTTTTGTAAGGAGTGGGGCATTGAAATCAATGAACTCAAAACTCAAGCAGTCATCTTTGGTAAGAAAACGTTAAAACAGGACATACAAAACATCAAATTTACACTCAACGGATCTAATCTTGAAATTGTTGACAGTTATTGTTACCTTGGATTTGAACTTCATCAATCGGGTCAAGTACAGATCGCTCAACAAAACCTTAAAACCAAAGCAATGCGTGCATTTTTTGGCCTGAAAAGGGTTGTCATGCGTTCAAAGTTATCTTTTAAAGCACTCCTTACACTGTTCGACTCTCTCATCAAGCCCATTCTATTATATGGTGCTCCGATATGGACACCCACTAGTACGATCAATAAATCTCTTTGCAAAACGATTAACTCGACAGAAGCAACCGCTACTAACTTACTTAAAAAAATCAGCGCCTCTCTGCAAGAAAGAGTGCATATTTCATTCCTAAAATGGGCATTGGGAGTCCATCGTAAAGCATCAAATGTAGGTGTTTGGGGAGAAACAGGAAGAATTCCTTTGATTTATCAATCAATTCGCTTAACGTTAAATTACTTCAAAAGGCTAAATACAAAATCAAAGTCGAATTCGTTTGTCACTGCAGCCGTAAAAGAACAAAAATCACTAAACTTACCTTGGTATCGATACATAAAACCACTCCTTGAACTAGATGAAATTTACAAACTAGATCACGTAACTGCGCACCGAATTCTCAATACAAATGCAGCTAACAAAGCCGCGCCCAACCCTGTAAGTGATCACAAATTATTAAAAGACTCCCTCATAAATCAGTCAAATTTTAGTCAATCCATCAAACCACTATGCAGCAAAAAGTATAGAATTCCTAAAATCATCGAAGCTCTAACCAATCAATTCATAAAATGTTGGCAATATCAAAAATCTACTTCTTCTAAACTCTCATTCTATCACTCAATCAAACACACCTTCAACCGAGAGCCCTACTTATACTTATGCAAAGGCTTTTCTCGTCGTTACAGTACCACAAAACTTAGAATCAGCGCACATGATCTCCATATTGAAAGAGGCAGATACTCCAACACACCCCGTGAGCAAAGACTATGTGGTTGGTGCCAATCAAGTATGGGCGTTGAGACCATCGAAGACGAGTCGCATGTTCTTTACATATGTGACTTGTATTCAAAACAGAGGTCGAAATTAGTCAAAAATCTTTCTCAAATGCCAATCATTGAAATAAGCAATGAAATCACCGAGCTGGGTGGCCTAGTGGTTAGAGCTTCCGCCTTCTGTACAGAAGGTTAAGGGTTCGAATCCCAGTATCACCCAGTCTAGGGAGTAGCTAAGGATTCATTGGATCTATGCGATCTCCTCGGTCGACTCAGCCGAATGATAGGAAACTTGATTGAGGGTTAAATGAGGAGGGGTGCCTGTGCCAAAAGATCAAGAATCTTAGGATACTCCTTCAGAATATCTACAATGTAGTGTACTGTAAAACAAGGGCGGTCGAACTATTCGATGACCCTGTAGAGGAATCTACGAACTTTACAAATTACAAATAAATTATATTACCGACTCCAGCAATATCAATGAAACAAATCTCAAAGATCATCTCATGGAAATTTTGTCTCCTTACTCAACTGTAATTCCTCAAAATCACCAGAGCCTCCATATTCACTGCCACCGCTCACTTGATATTCAACCAAACACCCCACAGTATACTCAATTTCAAGAAAGGCGCTCCTATGCTGTCAACTGTGTGTGCACTTTTTTCCTTCGCTGCTCCGAAGAGCGAAATAGCTTCACCGAAGATACGCGTCAGCGTAATTCAAATGCACGAAACTTAAACAATTTTACTATCAATTTGGTGAGAACCTCGCGAATTAGTCATAATTAAGACTCAAGGATAACCCTGGCCCTGACTTCAAGCAAAGATGATTGTTTTCATTAACTTCTGTAAACAATTATGACGGTCCATGATAATGGATCTATAATTTAATTTTAATCCTGTGTAATCCTGTGTAATCCTGTGTAATCCTGTGTAATCCCTCTAAGTCTAATGATAACCCATCCTACAGGCGGCAGCTACCATGATGTTTGTCTCCCAGATGATGTTCAATGCACGTGTCAGTGACGTGAAGATGGGCGGTACCTACATGACCCTTCTCAACACCATGATAAACCTGTCAGGTAGCTATTGTTATCTATATGTCTGGGGGCGGGGAGTGGTGGGGAGTATAGGAGCGAGAAGTGTGGGGGTAGGAGTGTGATGGTGAGAATACACCAAATTGTTACTTGAGTAAGGAGCGTATATAACGGTATTTGTGTGTAAAAGGAGGGGTCCTATTTTATAACTTACATTTTAGTTATCAGTCATCATTCATCCGATGATGTCAGTTATGGCTCAAATATTTTAATCTTATAGGTATCGACTGTAATTATACGTAACGTCAAGTTGATACTGACAGTAACGATTTTACGTCGATCAAAATTTAATCAATATCATCAACATTTGTCGCATTCCCAAGCTCTTGGTACAAGTGCTACAAGCCATTAGCCTGGCATCTTGATAAGTGAATATGATTTGTTTGACGTCATGAAGTCGAGTTAATGTTGTTGGAAAATACAGGGATTGCACTGCACCTAGGCAAATTCTTCTAGTGACCTAATTTTATCAATTATCATTCTATATGAGATGCGATAAACTCTAGATCGTGTGTGTTATTAGTATTTTATTACCTCTAGGAATGTCTAGGATGGGCATAGGATGATCCACAAGAAAAAGCAGAAGGTGCTACAGGTTAAGCTATTAGTATAGTATCTTAATAAGTGAAGTAAATTTCTTTAACGTCGTATTTAACGCCCGGGTAACTTTTTGGGTGCAAGGGCCAGGCTATACATTGACCTGGGTTGATTTTGAAAAGAACCCGGGTCAAAATTGAGATAAGGGCGGGAAGAATAATGTGAGCTATGACTAATTAAAAGCAACTTACACCCTGGCCACCACTAATCCACCCTCTCCCAGTCACCACTTCAAACTTTCAAAGAGTACAATACACACGTTAGGATAATAATACGCCCTGTGTTTCACCCTTTAGGGTAACCTGTTCAAGTTTGCATGGATTTCCGAGGAAATGTAGTAAGACTAACCATCTTCATCGAATTAGAAGATCAATTGTAAAGCATGTTCCTCTGAAGAAAAGTTGTAAGAATAACAGTCTTAATCGAATCAAAAAATTAAGTTATAGCGGGCGCAAGCGAGGTGTCGTGGAGCGCCGCCGAGTGAGCTGTACCCCGGGCTCGGCCCTAAAGTGGCCCTGCTATTTTTTAACTCCTTCCTACACGCAGGCTGTAACTTCCTAGTTAGTGCTGCATGCTGTTAGAACATGTAAGACATTGTTTCATCTACCTTACTCGGGATTATTACGACGGGTTTATTAACGACGGGTTAAAATATGGTTCGGGAAAAATATGGCGAAATTGCTCAAAACCCACCACATTTTCCCGGTCGCCATTTTACCGGTGTCCAACCTTTCAATTTTAGATTACAAAATTTTGTCTCAGATGTAAATTTCCTTATTAGAGATAAGCAAGTTTAGAAATTTTCGCATTGCTAAAACTTGTGAAACAAATCGAATTATCAATAATTGTTGAAAGTAGACAGAAATAATGACTTGTGGTTAATCAAACTTCGAAAGAATGCATCGTTCACATTGTTTAGAATTATGAATAAATGACTGATGAAACTGATTCATGTTATTGACAGTTTTAATTGATTCAAGTTTTAATTTAACTGTTACTTTTACTTTGAGTCCTATTTCATTATGTAGAGATATTCAATACCTAAGAAAATAAAAATTGGCCTATTTAAATCAACTTTGACAATAAGGATATATGACAAGAATTGGGCGAAAAGGTGAATGTTTTGCAATTTTAGCCAAATAAAGTCGAAAAACCTACAACAAGTGTCCCAATAGTCTTCTTTAGTGAATATAAGACAACGATTAAAATATGAGCACCCATAACCCTTGGGAACCCTAAAAGCTGAGTCGGCGGGTTTATTAACGACCGGTGAAAATGTGGTTCGGGAAAAATATGGCGAAATTACCCTAAACCCGCCACTTTATCCCGGTCATAATAATCCCGAGTAAGGTATATATATATCGACTATAATTAATATCGATCCTAATAGAGATTCGATTAACTGGGACACCAATACAATTACCGTCTGGAATCAAAAGGAAAAACAGAAATTGCAGAAAATTCTATTATTTTTGCAGAAACAATCCAGATAAGTGGATATGATTCCTTTTACGTCACGAAGATCCAGTTAGAGCTGCAGGAAAATTACAATTAAGCAATGAGATGCACTTGTACCTAAATAAATAGTGACATAAACTAGTGACATCATAAGTTATTCCATGATAATGAATGTCAAACTGAAGATCACCTATACTATTACTATTCGGGATTTGTATTGAACGATATACACGAAAAATATATATAAAATACTGTTGATCCTCTGGAATTTTTTGTAGGGCCATAGTTTGAGCACTCGTCAGACATAGCAAAAGAGGCAACCGTTAACTAATCCCTGCCAAATTCCCCACCCAGCTTATTCTGATTTCTAACACACCATCTTAAAACACTCTTTCTAATACCAGATTAGTTCAATAATTATTAATAATTATGAATAAATTCGAATATTATTAAAAACCGCACAACTCTGCAGGCACCCTTCCTCAGACACTGTCTCTGTTAGCTGTAGACAGACTAACAACCTCCACCTGTGTTGGATCAGATACCGTTACCTCCTGCTACATGGACAAAGAGGTCAGTTTCCCCGGACAAGAATCGTCTTGACATTTAGATCCGATCAATCTCACTCAGCATATGGTTTATAACCTCCTTTAATCACCTACCCCAAAAGGTTATCCATCAGCACTCTCACAACCCCTCATATCTAAAATCCCCTCATATCTAACCCCTCATATCTAACCCCTCATATCTAACCCCTCTATTCCCTGTCAGACTTGCACCGCGTCAGGAGGGACTTGTTCAACTGAAACAGACGGTTTCTTTGTTCTCGTAACTATTGGAATGTGTTGTGCTCTCTCTGGAAATGGGTTTGTTTATTTTACCACTAAAGCTTGTTGTTAACGCAGTTTTTCGAGTTTAATTTTACCTTTGAGCAACATTTTAAGCGAACGAAGTTATGTAGTACCTAGTGTTCATTTTTGTTCTAGAATGTTCTTTTTGTTTGGTCTCTCACCCTCAAACGTTTCAGAAACTCTCAAAAGTGTACCTAAGACTCCAGACTCAGTCCATTGAGTCATGGCACGTAAGCAGCTCCGACTAACTTCACAGTACCTCTAGGTTTACAGATTAATTAGTTAATTAATTAATTGATTGACTGATTAGGGCAAATTGTAAATTTCTTGATTATTCTTGGGTTAACTAGTTTCTATACTTTGTTTGACGTAATTGTTTAAAGTTACTCTAGATATGAATAACGATTTATTTGAGCAGGTTCTCAGCCGTCTTGTTAAGGTTTAATCAGTAAATTACTAGTAGTAGTAATAAACTAAATCTTATATTTGGTATGATTTAAGTTAATTTATTCGAATATGTCGACCAAACAAAATATAAACATTTGATATGCTTAAGTTAAAGACACTTCATTTTATTTGCTTAGCTTGGCTGGCTTCGGTTTTGATACTAATAATATTCAGGTTTTAAAACTTTTCATTGGCAGGTTGAGCAACCCTAAATCCATATCACTGGAATATTCCAGAGTTTTATGCGGGAATTCTTCATTTTAGTTCTAGAATATTCTTTTTGTTCCAGAATATTAGTTTAATTAGGTCAAGTTACCTGAGCTAGTACGTTGTTTTATGGGCTGCATAAATCTATGAAATCTAATATATGAGTCGGGGAGTATAAAGTAAAAGGTTGTTTATTAGATTAAAGTAAAGGGTTGTTTTATTAGATTAAAGTAAATAGTATTTACTTTGTTGACAAGCGTGTAATTTTATCTTAACAGCGGGATTGTAAGAATTCGGTGACTTAACTTACCAGATAGTTGGCAAAAGAATAGAAAATACTTTAGCGTATTTTATTCAGAAATGTGTATTCCAGAGGAACTATTGAGATTTTAAAATCGCACTAATGTTAGCACTTGTTTCGACTACAACAACTGCGAGATGTAAACCATTAATATTGTTATCTAAGTTTAGCTTATGATGTAATGCAGTTAAGTTATTGTTTTGTTTTAATATTTCGGTTGGTTATAATGTAAAATAGTATCAGATTATGTTTAATGATGACCTAACATTTCCTTCATTGCTTTGCGTGTTATCTCTATCATGCTAATCTACAACTTCAAGAGCATGTTTTAATATTGATAATGAATGTTGAATGTTGAGCACATTCTATTCGAAGCGTCCACTCCTGTTAAGAACTATTAGTTTTAAACCTACAGTTACTAATATTACATACCTCAATTTATTTTAAAACTCGTGTCAGCTCCGTTTTAAAACCCTCATTATTGCTAAGCATTCCTTTGCTTATATAATTCTCAAAACCTCCATAATATTTTAATCTTTACTCATTTAAAGATAAATTTCTCGTAGACCTACACGTGACACGTGACACGTGACACGTGCCACGCTGTATAATCATAAACAATATCACACGTGAATTATTATTACTATAAAACTGTAATAATCAATACAAACGGCTGCAATGGCGCCTTCGTACTCTCAATAGTCGCTCAACTATTGCATCATATGGTAACATGAGGAGCCTCCACTCTCACGTCATTATAACACAAGTCAAAACAACTCACCAGCTGTTATTGGTTGAGAAGCTGTTAATTTTACTAATTTCCTAATTGCCAGTACCAACTTCCAACACACTTCACAGTTCACACACTATGCTTCTGTCACACTCTACCATTTCTTCTAAATTATTATTAATAATTACTAGAGAGTCAGCATTATTATTGTAAGAGTCAACATTATTCCGCTGCCAGTTCCACCGGCTCCAACAATACCGATGACTCCTTGCTTGCAGTTATGATGATTATTCTAGTCATAACAACAATACATGACACAGTGCTTGAAAAAATTTTTATGATCAAATCACACGGTCTTGTTTGATACTCACTTTATTGTTTCACATGTGATGATGATCTGATCACGTTCATGTGTTTCTCTCCTGTTATCTTCAGCTTTATTGTAATGGCAATATTTACTTACATCACTTACATGATCAAAGATAACATCTTTATTTTGCCGCGTTTAAAAGTTCTTCGCACGGTTATGATTATCTTCCTTTATATTTCTACTTTGTGCTGTAACCATGTCGTCACTCAAGTTGTCATCAAAAGATTAATCAATTACGTATCTAGAATTAGTGAGTCATTCATCCCTCGATATCTTCTGAAATCTACTTGCTTATCAGATCCCAAAGATTACTCAATACACTAATTTAAACATTCTACTTTTAAATCTCAAGTTTATTTCCATCTCCCCTTCATTTAGATGTACTATAATTAGCCTAATAGCCCTAATTAACTTAATATAATCTCCTATAACTCTTTATTTATCTCGCAAATATTGCCAGCACACACACAAACATATAATTAATCTCCAGGTGACATCAGCTGCCTGCTGGCCCCCTCGCTACCAAACATTAACTTCCTCCCCAACTTCACACCAGTCCTCTGTGACCTGGACCTTAATCACAATCCAATCACCCTCTCCAATGCTATTAAATCACACGAGTAAAACACAATAATCTCATAACCTCTCATTACCCTGAACTTGGCACTACTATAATCATGTTAAGTAAAATCACACGAGAGAGAGAGAGAGAGAGACCCCCCTCGTTAATAACATAAGAGAACGTTATATATTACCACACTGTCCAGTGTACCACACAGTATGGCCACAAAGAGAGTTAGCCCGCTGCTCCTTCTCCACGAGGACGTTACCTCACATCTATTAATAGCAGTATGAGTCACCTCGCTTTGTAACCTGATCTCCCCCCTCTCTCTCTCTCTCTCTCTCTCTCTCTCTCTCTCTCTCTCTCTCTCTCTCTCTCTCTCTCTCTCTCTCTCTCTCTCTCTCTCTCTCTCTCTCTCTCTCTCTCTCTCTCTCTCTCTCTCTCTCTCTCTCTCTCTCTCTCTCTCTCTCTCTCTCTCTCTCTCTCTCTCTCTCTCTCTCTCTCTCTCTCTCTCTCTCTCTCTCTCTCCTCAGCGCACTGATCTTGTTAGCGGTAAGTTAGGACCTGCTCGCTTATATATAACCTCTCATTTATTGCAGGTTCACATCTCGAACGTTTACGTGTTTATTATACTGAGCGGGCAACTTTTAGCTGTGCTTGTTTTTCTGGAGTATTCTGTATTTTCTAGGTATACTTGGTAGATTGTCTTCATGTATATTGACAGCTTTCATTTCATCACAGCAAAAAATATCAAGAGAGTTGCTGACGAACACACATTCCTTTGTTCGCGCCAAATAAGGGTAGAATAGAGGTTTTCTCAGTGGGCTCTAAGTAAGGTTAAGGCCTGGTTCTGATGAGGATCAGAGCAGGTTTTGAGTTAATAAGACCCGCCTAGCAGCTTAGGAATGCAGTGAGTGATCACGTGGCCCGAATGAGCGCCCACGTGCACACTGCACACATACACGTGGGTGCACATGTGACCGTGCTGGTATTGTCGTACGACCCATCCTCACTTTAGTTGCCTTGTGAATACCCGACTGGCTGAGTGGCTGCCAGGGTATAAATAAGGCCTCGTCATTTCTAAATAACGTAATAAAATGAAAGTCTGGCGGGTTATTCTGGAAGTCCCCACATTCCGATATTTGTGTGCTTGGTTTAGTTGTAAATATGCTCTTTAGTTTAAATTCCTAGCTCGGTTATAAGTCGGTCCTTGGTATGCAGTCCGTCAAATGTTGGTATGTACTATCATCAGATGTTGGAAAACATACTCTTTAAAACTACGATTTGTTCGCGTTTTTGTTCTACGAGTATGAATTGTGAATCACCACAGCATCGGCCAGGTAAACCCGCGAAGTTTCTACCGATTGAACTCGGTAACCTTGGCTCCAAACTTGTCACATTCTGAGGAAATGTATCGTTTTGTAGCCCTACAAAGTCCCTTAAATTGCAATCTTTACAACACGTTCTATTTAACGTAAATAGTACTGCTTCTAACTGGCGCTGAACTGCGTCACTAGCTCTTGCACGTGAGCGCGGCTCATACTAGAGCACGTGACGTGACGTCAGATGGGCAGCAGTAAAAACACAGGGGGCTGCTCAGGATGGTATATCAAGCATGTTTAACTTACCTTACGTCATACATGCCGGCTTTATTTGCAGGAGTTCTCTCCTCAGCTATCACTTCGTTAAACTTCATTTTCTTTTGTTGCTCATATTATAATGTTGTGCTGTGTGGTAACATTCCTGTGCTTGTAGATTTGATCATTTTTTTTAGAAGTTTCGGAGCTGTAAACTTTTTAGATCATCCTTCTTAATGATATCCACCGATACATGAACATGATGCGATCATCGTGTTTAGATTTTGGCAACTGTTGTTGAAAAGCCCAAGTCAGATGAGAATTAGTGTTATAGCATGGTCACGTGTGTTGGTCACGTTTACTGGTCACGTGTTCCCCGTTCCTGTGTTTTACATGCTAAAACTTAGCAAGTGGGAGGTTACTTTTAACAGGACCAGTCAACCTGACTACAGAGCACCGATCTTCAAATGAGAGCAAATGTGTGACCAAATTATTCATACGTTATTCATAAACCCATACAAATTACTCTTATAATATTCAATATATTCATCATATTCCGCGGAATATAATCATGGGTCCTCTCTCCGTTGGAGACTCCGTACTAGGTGCCAGCCACTCAGCTATCGCCACCTCCAGCTCTCCGTTATTATCCACAATTATTTGAATATTCAAACATAATCTGGCGGGAACACTACCCCTGACAAGCTCCTTCACTCTTTAGTCACGTGATATGGAGCGAGGTGAGGGGCCTGCGTTACGTCACCTTAACATAAACTCCTCTCCTTCAATCACAGCGCTCTCTCTCTGTGACTCACAGTGAGCTGCAGATCGAAGACTCTAATTATATTGCAGAGAGAGAGAGAGAGAGAGAGTGATGGAGTCAGGAATATGTAGTGAGGTGGGTGGATGATGTAATGATACGTAGATCACACTATATAGCAGCGGTACAGTAGAAGTGGTGTTCTGCTACCCTCGCTGTTAACAGTGAGGCTGTTCTGCTCACTTGGCTCAGTTCGCTCTTTACAGTTTGTGTAGGGGTCACAGCTTGGTTTTTTGCTGTGAAGAAAGTTTTTTACTATAAGTTTTTCGAATAATGTTTTTTCATGATATTGCAGTTCGAGAGTGACAATATATTGCGCTAGATGACGAATTCATTGCTTGCAAAAGATTTACACGATTCTTTATTGGATAAGCCTTTTCAAGGATACCACTACTGTGTTTCAATCAAAGTGATCATTCCTCGCAAATACCACAGCTGTCCCGTTTTTGGTTTTCTAAGAGCTTGTGCTTTCCCTATTATATTCTACTCTGACGACGGCCCTGTCGGTGTCTCATTTTTATTTTAACTCATTCCCTTAAATAGTGTTCACTTGGTCGACATTACGATCACATAAAAGACAAACAATAAACCGCATATATTCAAGTATCTCTACTACATGAGATAGCCTATTGACGTATACCCTTCTATTGTGATACAATCAAGGGAGATAATTTTTGTGCCATGACACAAAGCCGCCCTGCTCGACTCATGCAAGGTTATAGAAATCTCGCTTTATTTGGTATTTTAGCCCTGCCGACGGATTCAGGCGATCACAAAGGTTTGAATATTGTATTGTCTATTGAGTCTCTGTCGGGTCTGTCTTAAAAAGCAGCTAGGCGAGCTTTGTAATAGTTTAATGATCTGTCTCGTCTACTTTTTTTGTCGGAGCTGGTCTAACTTTAAGATTTTCTAAGTTTGTGCAATTGTTTGCGAGATGATCGATATGGAATTTGCTTGCTTTGTTCAGAGACTAAAGGTTTGTTATAACTGGGAATTCGTTTGGAAACCTTAAAAACTAACTGAAGTTAAGTTAGCGTGCCTGAGACAAGCCACCCAGTAGAGAGAGTTATTTATCACGTGACTACTCACATATTTGTGCGAATATGCGTCATCAGCAGGTTCTAAAACTTTAAACTATGCACCTGATCTCCAGCACTTCTTTTCATGTAGCCGATATTCAGAAATTGTTTATATATTCAGATGTTGTTTAGCTGATGGCGGGAGCGCTTGATGGCGGTAAAACGAATCTTCCATTAATTTGTATCCTTTGATATTCCCCTTTTTAACCATCTTGAAACATCTCTTATATTTATTAAAGTACCTGTATTAAGGTGGCATTAGCTCTCTCCGATATTCTTTAAGCCAGTATTGGAGCTTAAAATAGATATGATAGATGATCTAGATTCCATTTAAGCTGAGCATCTTTATTTCTGCAGAATCCCACTGGTCTGTCTCTGGAGCGCTGTGCCACTGATTTCAACTGAGGATCTAGATCCATGATAATCCTCTCTCTGGATTGCATTTCGGTTCGAAGTGCCACTGATCGTTAGCTACAGCGCTTCTGACGTAATCCTCTTTAACCATGTTTAATACCCTGCTATGCCCTGTGCTCAGATCTCCCTCTATGACAGCCTCACCGTGGGCCTTAACCCCCGAATAAGGTATAAGAAAACCACGAACAACTGAACAAATCCCCTGCTTACGTGAGCAACAAACATGCTCATGAGAACAAGTACTTTGCTACGTAGGTGCATTCTTACTGGTTACATTGTATAATAGGTCGAGAAATATATTGCAAAATACATCGTAAGCTGGTCATACTAATTGCTCTCCCTGTATGATATGCTGACTTATATGGTATTAGATTCCAGCCCCTCCCTCGGGTATGGTTCGATTAAAGCACCCCATCTCCATCATAAAGCCCCGCAGCACCAGTAGTCGACTCAGTGCTGCTGCTTACAATTTGAATTGCTTTACCTGCTCTCTCTCTCTCCCTATACTCTATGAGATTCTGTGAAGACGATATTCTGCGAATATGGCAGTGGTTCAGTGTCGCTTGTAAACACTCTCGCAGCCAGTGTTGCTTGGAGCACTGTTATTTGTGACCGCTCAATAACATGAAATGATAATATGTTATCTTCTCTTATCTCCCTCGTTCTAGTTATGAATTTTCCATGGTAGCTGATTTCTTTAGGAAAAAAAGTGAAAAAACACATACGAACATAATACCGTATAAAATGTTAGCTGCTAGGTTTTAAAATTTGGCACTTTTCTGCCATGATTCACTTGATATTTTCTATATAACGGTTACCGAGCGGTGAAGAAAATCACATACAACGTTAGTTATCTGTTGAAGATAAGACGGTTTTCCCATGCTTGTTAGAACCATTTTGCGATAAGTTTGAGTAATGAATCATAGTCCTAAAAAAGAACAAATTATGTGTCACCCCGTTAAAATATTTAAGAACCGTCTTATCTGATATATTTTGTTGACTCATCATCTGCTGGCATAATCCCTGCGTATACCCACTCTTGTTCAATGTTCATCGTGTATTTCCGGCACCCTGTACGAGAATTAAGTCATGCTGATTATTTTTGCAGTTCCTTATCATTACTTATCTAAATCTCAGATTATGCTTCTTGTGATAGCGTGCGAACTTTTCCAACAAGTTAGTTCTAAACCCAAAGATCGACCACAAGTCTAGACATGAAGTATTAGGCTTTCTTGGGTTTTATTGTTGTTTACCCCTGATCATTGTCACTAGATCACTAATTTCTGCAAAATAAGTTCATTATTTGTGCAGAATAATAGGATTAACTCATCCTGCAAATAATAGTATTAAAATATTGGATCTCAGCCCACTTAAATAACACACATAACGCTATTAGAGTTTCCTGTACGACGATTGGCGTACTGGAGTACCTGTTAGGTCACCAAGAGAGCGGGCAATACTGTTCATTTTACCTGCAGCCTCGACAATAAACACAATTGTCAATATCCCAGACCCAGGTAGAAACTTGATATTTCAGTTAGAGTTTATTACTCGATATTATAGTTAGAGTATATAACTCTAGCGCTTCTCAGCGTCGTTTTTACCTCGTCATTGCAGCACATGTCGAATACCATCCAGACTCCTTGACCGTATTCAGTATTGATTTGTCAACCCCTCCCTCTTTTCTACAGAAAAGCTTTAATACTACGTCCGTTTCTAACTAATACTAACTCTTTAGTTGTTAGTGTTTATTTGATACTTGTACTCTTCACTAGTGCCCTTCGTTGACTTCTCGACTCCGTTAAATCCAACTCTTTCGCTGTACAATTTATCCTAGACTTTATGGTTATTTAGCATTCGACTTTATCCACCACTGCACTCAGACTACTTCCATAATAAAGACTGGTTGGTTGGGTAGTAAGGGCGTTTAACAGCTACCTTCTAATGGCCAAGGGACTCCCATCTTCTATCTAGTGTACTAGGGCGTACCCACTCTAAGTGCTCCCCTCTCAGACTGCACTCAGTATAAGTATTATCTAGTGCTCCTAGTGTACCCTCTCTTTCTGACTCAATAACCTGGCAGTTCAAGTTCCTTTAGCCGCTCTCCAGCCCTCCTTTCCCGCCATTCTGCATTACATCATACCTCATTGGTAGCAGCTGTTGAGTTGCACTTTTCTACATTGTACTGGTAGTTGTCAGAATGCCATGTGGTATTATGTTATCAAGGTGTTACTACAGTGTTCTATAATCAGCTCCATTACGTATTATACTTAGAGATAATCACTCTAGCGCTCTCTCACGTCGTTTTTCACCTCGTCATTGCAGCACATCAATACCATCCCCTCCTGACCGATCATATTGATTTGTCACACCCCTCCCCTCATACGCATACAACCTTATCCCAACTTCCCTTTCCTCAACGCACTAATCACCTACCCCTTGAGTATATACTTTCATTGATACTTACCTCTTCACTATCCCTCGTTGACTTCTCGACTCCTTAAATACATCACTCTTCCGCTGACCACTCTATCCTAGACGTTTATGGTCTTACTTCTGACGCATACATTATCCACCACTGCACGCAACTACCTCCATCATAAGACTGATTCTCTGGATAAGGCGTTAACACTACCTCTATGAGCCAATCCCCTCCCCCCTCATGTACTGCACACCACTCTATCTCCCCTCTCATGACTGCACTACATAACTACCCTCATGACGCATCTCCTCAGTGACCCTCATCTTCTGACGCACTAAACCTGCACCCTATTGGGCCAGTGACGCACTACATCACCTCCCCCTCATGACGCACTACATCACCTCCCCCCTCAATGACGCACTACACCTCCCCCCTCATGACGCACTACATCACCTCCCCCCTCATGACGCACTACATCACCTCCCCCTCATGACGCACTACATCACCTCCCCCCTCATGACGCACTACATCACCTCCCCCCTCAATGACGCACTACACCTCCCCCCTCATGACGCACTACATCACCTCCCCCCTCATGACGCACTACACCTCCCCCCTCATGACGCACTACATCACCTCCCCCCTCATGACGCACTACATCACCTCCCCCCTCATGACGCACTACATCACCTCCCCCTCATGACGCACTACATCACCTCCCCCCTCATGACGCACTACATCACCTCCCCCTCATGACGCACTACATCACCTCCCCCCTCATGACGCACTACATCACCTCCCCCTCATGACGCACTACATCACCTCCCCCTCATGACGCACTACATCACCTCCCCCTCATGACGCACTACATCACATCCCCCCTCATGATGCACTACATCACCTCCCCCTCATGAAGCACTACATCACCTCCCCCCTCATGACGCACTACATCACCTCCCCCCTCATGACGCACTACATCACCTCCCCCCTCAATGACGCACTACACCTCCCCCCTCATGACGCACTACACCTCCCCCTGCATTACAGCCGGTCCTGCACACAATATACCGCAGCGTATGTGTTATATGTGGATGACGTCACACGACACTAGCTCCGTGTCACGAATCAGGGGGAGCTAGTAATGCTATTATCCCAGAGTTCCAGCCTCCCTCCAACATATCCCTTACATCTGCTCAGCGACTCATAGAGCCCATACATGTCACGTGATTCAAGTCCGCCAATCAAAATATTACTAACATATTACGGTCCGTAATGAGTTTTATGCTGCATCTCTCTCTCTCTCTCACTCTCTGTATCAAACGTGGCATAGAACGCTGGTGTCGGCTGCTACTGGAGAGCTTCTCTCTTTCTTAGTAAGCGCTAACACTTCTCTCCCTCCTCGCTGTTAAAACAACTTCCCCAACATGCTGAATTGTCTTGTTTTTCTGCACATGCTTGACACGTTACCTTGTTTAGTTTGTCACGTGGGTTGATTCATACCTGAGTTCTGTACTGCTGAGCCGGTCAGGCTTTGAGAGTAGTAGCCTTCCAGGCGATCTTGATGGTTCTACGGTTCGAGTAGGATGTAAAGATGTTTATTGTGGATGTGTTAGGATGCTTGTGAGTCGGAGCAGTTGTTTCTGAAATTATCTTCATTATTCATCTGATACATACATCTTTAGTTTGAATTTTGAGTGCTCGCTCGCTTAGTTTGTTTTATTAGGCATTTGTCAGACAGTTGGCATGACTGTAATTTTACTTTTTATTTAATAGTATCTTGTAAATGAATTTAGATATTTAAGTTCGACGGTAAATTTAGTTATACGGCTTCCTTCGTGAGCATTTCGACTGTAATTGCACTTCTTCAGTTTATTTGATTAAGAATTGACGCCCACTCAGTAATTGACTGATATTTAGAATGATAATTACGCGATTAAAATGATAATTTCAGATTTTTGGCCGAAAAGATTCAATTATTTCCATATAAACCCAATTTCATTTTGTATCTTATTTTAGACATGGCTTGCATTGGTGACGAATCATGGAAATTTTCCTACAACAGCGCTATTATTGACTTCATCATCAACGATGGTAAGTTGAGATCTGAACTTGATTTGATTTATTTAGGTTTTCAATACCCAGTGAGTATCTTGGGTTTTATCAGAATAAAATAAGAATTGTATAATTTCCTCAACTGTTTATTCACCTGATCACTAACCCACCATCTCCCCAGATAACGAACAAGACAAACGAACGGACGCTCCCCGACTGAAACCCCTCCCTCACAAAACAATCTCCGAAGACCTGATGGACTTCCTTGCCTCCGAGGAGCTGTGTACCAAAACCCCCACTTCAGTGACCTTCAAATCCATTGAAGATCCTCTTCCCTCATACGAAGGAAACTTCGCAACGCTGACTAACGACTACGAGCAGAAGACAGTAACAAACGAACAGAGCAGACATCTCGCAACCCTGAGAGCTCCTCTTCGAGCTCCTAAAGTGGAGAAGAAACCTTTCTCCCCATCTGACGTGCTCAACAAACCAATCACTATCAAACAGGAGAAGATGGAGTCAGATCCCATCCTGAACTTCAACTCTCTCAGAGACTGTCTCCCTGCCAAGGAAAACATCAAGAAGGAGCGACAGGAGCTCAACATTGATCAGTTCTTCAAGAAAGAAAACTCTATGTCTATCAGCGTGAATGGTAAGTTCAACAAAATTATTCATTTGAAACCTTTAAAAAAGTTGTTGAAAGATTGTCCGCTTAAAAGATTATAATTTTAAACTTACTCGTACATCACCAGACCCCTAACAAACCCTCTTCCTCAGATATGAGCAGCATGGTAGAAGAAGGATCAGGGTTCCTTGACGGGTTCTCTCCAGTGTCCCCAGCCTCGAGCGAGGGTAGCACCGACACTCTGCTGAGCAGTGGTGCTAGTGACTTGGAGACAAGTCCCCGACGAGGAAACGCTTCTCCGCTCAAGAAAACCAGGTACGGTCATATCCTGAGTTTTTAACTTCCTTCGCCTCACATGATAATAAGTTTTAAACTTATTTCGTCTGATATTTGTTAGGTTTACTTTATTTAACTAAATGGCTTTGGAAGCCACGTGCTCCATTACAAGTGCAGTGTAAGTTTGTCTAACTCCACTTTCTCCTCGCAGAAGACGTAAAGTAACAGAAGGAGGAAACTGTCCCCATCTGTGGCAATTCATCTTGGAGCTCCTTGGTGACAAGACCCACGCTCAGGTCATCAGCTGGACTGGTGTGGAGTTCCACTTCAAGGTGAGCTTACACTTCACTATTTCTCTTTAACATTTCACTGTTTGTACCTTCTCAAGCTGTGTTATTAAGTCTGATCACGAGAGTTTCCATCAATGTCACCCAATGATAAAACAGGTCTGATTTTGTAGAATGAGAGAATAATTAAGTTAAAAGCCCCACACACATGTTATCACTTATCATGGAAATGTAACAGAAGCATCCTTTAGGTACACAACTCCCGAGAGTTGGCCCGTCTGTGGGGTGCCAGGAAGAACAAGCCCAGGATGAACTTTGACAAGCTCTCCCGAGCAATGAGATATTACTACGATAAGAACATCATCAAACATATCTCTGGACAGAGACTGGTCTACGAGTTCTGCAGGTAAATTGAATATTCTGTTTATTTGCAGCTGGTCTTAGATAATTTCACTTGTTATCTTGGTCTAAGAAATAATCGAATCTATACCCGATTGCAAAAGTTACATTTTCTCGTCCACGTGGCTAACAGACCCATCAACCTCAGGAACAACGAAGACACAGTGTACTCTAAACTGTTGAAGGTAGCTGCTCAGACCATGCCCCAGAAGCCTCTGGTGAGCCTCAGCACTGCTGCTAAACCCTCCTACTCCCCTCCTTCCTACTCCTCCTACATGGCCCAGGAGCCCGCAGTCCAACACCCCACTACTAAATGTAGCTTCTCTACTCCCGCCCAGCTGTACCGTGCTGAAACCTCAGCTCCTCCTCCAGCTCCAGGACCTGGTAGTTACCCTAGCTACGCTGCTATGTACAACACAGCCCTGTACAACAGTACTGGAAGGTACCTCAACGATCAGTTGCCCAGCAACACAACCCGGTCTACCGCTGAATACTTTGATCACGTGACCCCTGCAGCCGCTCCCGCCGAGCAGCAGATCCAGCAGCCACCAAGCTACATTCCTAACTACACCTACAACCAAGCAGCACTCAATATCAACGTGCAGGTGGGAGGAGGGTACAACAAAGAGAGGTTGGGATATTCTTACTCTCACTACACCCCCTACTAGATAGTATCTAGATATTATCTAGATATGAGATCGCACCCCCACTATTATAGAGACCCTACCAGTATCAGTGCAGTTAACTTATTCCTGTACGCGGAGGGAGCTGCGCACTAGCACGTGTGTGTCCCGGTTATTCACGACCATTAAACAGTGGATAATATAAAGATGATATTGACAATTGATATAAGTAATCGAGAGGTCCAAGATACGGATTCGTGTTATTAATTTATAGGACGCGTTCTTTTTAACGCTCGAGAACATAATTTTTCTTATGAAAATGAACAAGGCTTATTTACGAAGAGAACTGTTTTGTTAACCCAACAGAACTTAAACCAAAGTTGTTCCTATGGAACACCCCCTCTTGACAATGTTCAAACACAAGTTAATATTTTATTTTTTGACAAACAAATTTTATTTCTATCAAATTCACACAGTGTTGAACATTGTCAGGAAACACACAATCGCAGGATTTTTTGAAATAAAATACAACTCGTAAAACTGTGATTAGTGATAAGATTTAACCAAAAGATAACTCTGTTTATGTTTTTTACTGATCGAAGCGACCCTGATCAGATACTTTCTAGGAAACACCGCCAGATCTATAACACCCCACATGAATCAAACATTTCTGCGATTTATAGCATGCACATAAAGTGCACTTTCAATTATTGATTTAAATCTGGTGGTGTTTCTTTGAAACATATTACTCACCCAATGAATGTTTTGATGTTAATAATTTATAATTTACGCAGGAACATTGAATTTGATTAACTTCCATTTTTGGATTAAGAAAAAGTTTTATAATGTTAATGAACGAAATTTTGTAATAAAATGAATTATAGATGCATTGAATTATTTGCAATCTAAAGGCTATTGAGGACCTTTATAAGGAGCTGAAGCAATATTTTGCATCATTTTGACTGATTAGTCAAATTGTTGTATAAACATGCTCAGTCTTCCTTTGTATAAGGTTTTTTTCATTAGACCAAATCCGAACGCATTGCAACACCTCGCATTTTCTCTGAAAATATTTCTAATAATTATTATAGAAATATTTACTTACTATTGTTCTAGTGGGTGTTGCGAAAAGTTGGGATTCGGCCTTAATACAGAAGATTATTATTGTTTTGTTTCACAAGTCACTTCAAATTCATTTCATAAATGAAAAACAAAGGTACACACAAATTTACAAAATTAACAAATCAGGCTTATCATTCATTCAACATTCTAACACTATCCAACTATTTTTATTCCAAATGTTTACAGTAACACATGATCAAAGTATGGAAGTAAGTCATGGAAAATTTAATCAACATAATCCACCACTTACCATCCACTATATTATTAAGATATATTTTATTATTTTAGCATGGAAAAAACCCTCAAGATATTGCAAAAAATCTTGCATGAATTGGCCGTCGACTTAGCACATTTGCTGTCATTTTGCTGTCAATCTTCGCCGATGTTTTAGTGGCATAATCTTGAGGGTTATTGGGGATTGTTATTTTTGGGGACCGTAACTTTACCGATGAACAGTGGACATTTCGGCCGACTTTAACTCTCAGATCAAGTTTCATATTAAAAAAAATGAAACACATGCCTAGCCGAGAAATGTCCACTTTTCAAGTAGAGTTACGCCGATTACCAGTCGAAAGAAAATTGAGATGATACATTGGTGAAACTGTGTATGTTTGGCTCGATATTGCGTACTCAACAGATTCACATGTAAAAGTAATTAATTATTCAATCAATTAATTGATTACATTGTAGATCTTTTGAGCCGCGCACGGTCATACTCCTAAGATTTGAGCAAGCGTGCAGATTTTCGCCTTTGTTAAAGAATTTATCGCAAGCAAATAATTGATTTTAATGAGTGATATGCTCTGTTTTGTAGTTGATTATTAATCAAAGAAAAGTTTGTGTCATAACAATATTTACATGATCATTTTTAGCGAGTTTAAAGCTGGAAGAAATCGAAATATCCACTTTTACCAATACAACATCTAGTTAAATTATGATCTGTACTATTGTAAAATGACAAAATGAATTTGAAAGAGAGAGTTGAAACAGTGTCTTGATCTGAACCACACATAAAAATCAAGATCAAATTTAAAATCGTAGCTGTTAAAATCAACATTTGAGTATTTTGAATTATGACCAAGGTGAAAGAACGATAAATTCAGTTTTATTTTATAGGCACTTTTTGTTTCCTACTACCTATTTCAGTGTGACTGAGAGATTTCCTTTTTTCCTAAGAGTCTTGGATTGTTTGAGAGTTTTTGAAGGAAGATTTGGGTACATAAATGTTTATGTTACTTGATAATACCATCATGCATATATCCCAAGTTTGTAAAACATATTATCATACCGTCGTTTCAATTTGTTGTGCAATGAACTGTTACCACTGAATTACCTGCCTGCAGGAGATAAATATTTCAAACAAATTAATTATCAGTTAGTTTAAGACAGATCCAAATTTTAATAGTACTGCGAAGATACATGCTAGTTGAAGAATCGTGCTATGACAAAGATAAGGAAAATTGTTCGGTTCCTATTAATAGCACGTATACTCTCTACTTTTACCAGGAACAATTTTAATGGACATTTTCTCTTTACTTTAGGTCAGGAATAGATAAACATCACAGCAGCAGTTTTTCTAACCCTACGGAATTATTGACTAAAACATTCTACTCACAGTAACTATCTCAATCTGAATTTCCTGGTACAACTATGTATCAATTAATAAGGTCCTTTATTGGATTTGAGCCAAAGAGGTATTCAAATCTATAAAGGACAAATATTTCTATCGTAATTAATGCAGCGGCTTTTCCCGTTAACTGAGGAGTGAGGCATGAGGTATGACAATTAGACTCCGCGACTAGCTACAGCAGTAGGTTCGACTTACAACGCTGTCCTGTAATTAAAATATAACCATATACAGTATATAGTTTACTGGTTTACACTTGATCATATTCTGAATATCGTCAAGTATCCCTAATTATACTAATAGCTTCCTCCGACCGAAATCAAACTTCCAGCACCTCAATCGGATCGTGTCATTTGCCATCCATAGTTGACTGACCAATTGGTTTCGGGTGAGAAATTCAGTCAAAACTGTAAAATCTCGTTCCTGGAAATTTCATCTTCAAAAACTGGAAATCGGACAGAGAATGGGACAATATGATTTTTAAATTTTCTTCGGGATTTTGACTTCCAGTAATTCAATTTGGTTTCATATCATCATCAATTAACTGACTAATTGATCTATCAGCAAAAAATCCACCCAATCAGTCAAATTTGTGTTCAGAAAATTTCATATTTGAAAATGGGACAGAATTTGGAAAATATGAATTTTCGCGTTCGTTTTGTTAAGATTTCTGCAGTGAGCTTCCTCCGACCGAAATCAAACTTCCAGCAAATTAATCGTGTCATCCGCTACCCATAGTTGACTGAATAATTGGTTTCAGGTGAGAAATTCAGTCAAAACTGTAAAATTTCGGTCCTGGAAATTTCAAATTTCAAAAACTGAAAATGGGACAGAGAATATCAGAAGCAATGTTTCAACATAGACTTAGAGTTAGATATCATATCTCAAATGCTGCAACTGGATGCCAGAAGATTTTATAGGGCCCGCATTGTTTCACGACACGAGACTTACATACGTCATAGTCATACGTCAACGTGGGAAGAAAATGTGAAATGGCAGTGAAATTTATGTGCGATGGCGATCTTGCATTGTAAAAAAAGTCATATTTTTTGTGTTAAACGTTTTGTTGCTCGTCGCTATAAGTATAAGTGTAAACACGTGGAGTACCAAATTATTTAATTTTCGAACCGGCCTTCGACAAAATGCTCCTGATCTTTTTTTCTGCTATAATTTCCCATGTCCATTCTGAGGCCGGGGAGCAAAGTATTCTCCAATTCACACAAACAGTTGGGGACTACATAGATCTGGCAGATGGTATAATGGATTCATCAACATCACAGTTTTCTGTGTGCACTTGGCTTAGGACTAAATTCGATGCAAAAAAACCACTTGTGCTGCACTACAGTAATCTTAACTCTGACGAAATAATTTTCGGTTCTGACGGCTTATACAACTGGGTGGTAGGTACTAATCTCAATCTCAAGTACAAGTTCAATGTTCCAAATAATGAGTGGTACCACCTCTGCTGGACCTGGACTACCGCGACCTACATTCTCACAAGTCACAGTCTACCTTAATGGAGATGTAATAGGATCTGGAGCTACTACGGAGAAGGAGCTAAAGACAGGTGGGAAGATGAGTTTGGGAAACTCAGTGCAACTACAGGATCCGGATACAAGAAATTCAGCTTACAAATACATCTTTGGGGTGATATGTTCAAGTTGAACATTTACAGTACAGTCCTAAGTTCATCTGAAATACAAAAAATGTCATCTGACATGTGTTCTTTTGAAGAGGAGCTATTCAATTTCTTCCCTATCAAAATTCTAAGTTGGGAGGAGATACTGGTAAGTAAGTGAAAAAACTGGATCAGTGACAAATTTCCCATCCGGATGTATTGGGAGATTGACTACTATTATGATGTGGTTGCAGGAGAACGAGCAAAAGTTGGCTGACACGAAGGACTCTGTGGATACTCTTACACACTCTCTCACAGCTACTCAAGAGGAATTAGATACTACCAAGCATGAACTAACCAACTTGAAGGAACTGGCTGCTACCAAGCAGGAACTAACCAACTTGAAGGAGCTGGCTGCTACCAAACATGATCTAGCAGCAACAAAGACCAACTTGGACTTTGGAGCAGCGACTAAAAAACCTAACTGCCAATCAAAAAAGAGAGCGAGAGTAAGTTATTTTATAACTTTCTCTGGTAGGGTTGATATAGTGTCGATAAACAATAATTACATTTCTACATCTATACTAATCGTGATACATAATTTGCTATAAAATTCAGTATGATTTTCAAAGTTTGAATATGTAACTGTAAGTGATGCAGATTGCAGGTATACATTTTTTTTAAACGCTTAAGAAAGGTGGGCACCAAAAAGGTTTTTCAGTGCACAGTCAAAGTATGAGAGGATGGGACAAACATCAAATCTTTCTAAAATCATAATCCAAACCAGTCAACTCTTATAACCTAATTTAACGGGTGATGACAAAAAATGGAATTTTTTTCAAATCCTTTTATCGGGTCGATCAATTCATTTGTGGTCAAAATCAATGAAACAGTGTTAAAATTTGGACAATTTTGAACAAAAATAGTCAATGGCAAATGTTTGTCATTGACTATTTTTGTTCCATTTATTGTCATCAACCGCGTTCGGCGTTACTGTAGCCTAACTTTATAACAAATTTATTAACGTGTAAATATTTTCAGAACTGTATCTGACTCTGATAATTGTGTTCGGGGCTCTCTCCGTGAATGTGATTATTCTCCTGGCAGTTCTTTTCACCAAACTAGCGGCAACAAAGAAAACAAACCAGCTCGTTGTCTTGAGCAAACTTACCAGAGAAACTCCTAGTTTAAGACGACAATGGCCAGACGAAGAGACTGGAATGCTCCCTGGTGCCTCCGGAGAGGAATATGACACAGTTGATAGCGGGGAAAGATATGAAACCTGGACTCTCTTAAGTAGTCAGCTAGTCGTGGACTTCATTAAGAAAGTTTAAAAGATAAAACATTCATTTTACCAGCCTTATTTTTAATCAATTGCTAAAATATTATATATCATTAAAAGTAAATTTTGAGTGAAATTGCATGCATTAGATTTTATTAACGTAATATTTTCGCTATAATTAATAAAATCTTATTGAATTTGACCTAGCGAGCGATTCGCATCTAGTTATAATAAATTATAATTATAAGATTTGGAAGCTTCCAACAAGAAATGTTTACTGATTGACCACGTTTTCAGCTGATTTAGAGACCTTGGTGACGGTGTTAAGGTGTTTTCTACCCAATTTTGAATTTTTTTTAATATAAAAGATGTATGTTTTTTTTGACACATTTTTTTGAAACACAATAAAACAACGGGGAATGTTGAGATACGGTGAGTTCACTCACTATTATCTCCAAACATAATTCACTTGCTTAATTTCATTGTTAAATACAAGAAATCATGTTAAAACATAAAATCAAATTCGATCACTGACCTAGTCGGGGAAGCAACTAGGAAACATTTTGGTTATGATTGGATGTAAATTGTTTTGTGATTACATTTTTATTAATTATATGATCCCAGTTCATTGTAATTAGTAGCTTTCATCGTCACGCTAACAATGTAACATGATCATGATTAACAAATTGAACATAACTTGAGATGTCCATCAAATTATATGCGACTAATTCCAAATTAGATGTGACTAATTTCGAATTAGATGGCAAATATATAAACACCATTACTTTATAACCGTGTCTTTTATTGGTGACATCTGATGTGCATTAATTACGATAAATTGGAGACTTCTGGTCAATTACATGCTCACTTGCACTATGTTTCAAAAATAAGGCCGCAACAGTTAAATTCTATTGCATTTTTCATTAATGCTGTTTATTGGAAATTCAGTTGCAATACCTAGTTCAAGATCAAGACTGGCACTTGGTAGTTATTTATTGAGACCATTGAGAAGTGAGAACTGCAAACACAGGTAATTTTTTGCCATTCAGCTTTTAATTACTGGGCCGCGCTCAGCCTGTCATTCCGCCAAATCTCTATTGCGAGATGTTTATGAACATAATAGCCTGAGGTCCCCAGGTAAACTTTGAACCGCTGCACAATTAACTTCCAATTTGAATTATAGCGTATTATACAAATAATGCAGTTTAATTATATTGAAAAGTGAATCAACAGTGTTCAGTGTTCGTTGTAGTCTTCCTCTTCGTAGGGGGCTGTGGTCATTATCACTATAGAGCTATAGGATAAATCATGACCCAGACCACTGTAACTGTAAAATAAAGCATTAGAGCCTGTGCGGCTGTGCTTACCAATACCTCGGT